AAGATTCGAGATTCGTGAACGTAATGATGAAAGGTCTCTGTTTATCGCAACTTAACATTCAAAAACAAAGGAAAAGCAGCGCAGAGGAATACAAAAAAAATGCGTTTTGTGTGAACGTCCTCTCACTGTCTGTGTTGTGTGTGCGCATGACAGCATGTAGTTAAGCGTACCCACATTCGCACCAGAGTATTGTTTCTAATAAATGACATTTTAATTATGAACAACGTTAAATTGTGTTCTCACTCAGGGGAAATCACTAAAAATGAAGTGTGCCCATTGATACGTTGATATCTTAAAAAACTATGGGCTGAATTTTTCAGCTGACTACTAGTTGGCAGCGGTACAGAATTTACTGTCCTTCATTTAGTGTCTCCAAGTTGAGTAATCAGGGATATAAGACGGTTTTTCCTTAGTTTTCCCAACAGAGAATGGCTTTTCCCTTGTCTACCAGTCCTGTCACAAACTTCACCCAGCAGCTTCTAGTAAGCCTGCATGTGGACGTCTGGTGTGACACAAGCCGCTGAGTTCGGCGCCCGGATCTTTGACCTCACTAGTGTGCTTCCTGTAGTCATTTCATTATGCTTAAAGGGCCATGAGGGACACTGATGCACTGCAGGTGTAATACCGCTCACGTCATGAAGGTAAAGAAATGGTTCATCATCCCTGATATTAATAGGAAAGAGTTTGCAAGTAAGGTGATGCTACTCACCTCTTGGACAGGAATGGCAATGACCAAGGCCTGCATAGAAGACAAAGGGATTGATGTGGTTATAAATTACTCCACGGCGCCACCTAGGCCAGCAGCTTTTTACTTTGTCATCAGGAGAAGGCGATAAAGCAGGAAAATGACCAGAGTCCTCCTTTTTTTTTTAATACATAAATGAATACGCTATGAGAGCGGTCATTATTTAAGGCATGCAGTCGTGTGGGACATGGACTTGACATGTGAAATCTCACAGAAACGCTCTCAGTGACCTCCATCTTTACGACCTTAAGTATTTTTCTTCATGTTCAATCTGGTATTATTATAATAATAAGCAATATTCACCAAGTGATTTTGTTCAAGCCTTGTTGGTCTGCTGAAAAAAGAGCGGCCACCTTTAACAGCCGTTCAGTAAGCAATTTTATAATTGTCCCTGTGAGCTTGTTCTTACCCTATGAAGTTCACAAGTGCCAAAATTGGAGAACTGCACTTTATGGCTGGATGAGTCGCCTCATCACTCTTTAAAAAAAGGGTGGAGGAAAAAAAACATCCTGAAAATAAGAGCCCAGAAAATAGAGCCATAAATAATACAGAGAGCAATGGGTTTTCCTTTAAATAAATACCGATCAGGTTTATGTTGAAAGACAATAGAAAACGTAGCCCAGATATGCAGTTTACAGTATTTATAGCTGTAATATCCCAGTGCCACCACCGTAATTTCATGCCCCAATGAGAATGGCAAGGTCAAAGCAAATGCTTCGACTGAGCATCTGCTAATATGGTGACTCATAAACAGGCTCTGCGTGTATCAGGTGCACCAAATAATACAGTATAATGAAATACAGAATAGCTTTCCATTATTGTTCTTTTTTATGGTGTCGTCATTAGATGTAATTTATGTCTAAAAAAAAATTCATCTACCGGCAGGTCGATCTGAAATGGAGGTCCGAGGGGTCATTCCACAGGTTTTGGAAACTGTAATACATTTTCTGTTTCCTTTTTGTGTCCTTTTCCTTTTATATGTAAAATTCACTCTTGTTGTCCGTCTTTTAAATTGGATCTCAAAGGTCTTTCATTTGTCGTCCCATTTTCTTTGTAATAAAGGCATCAGAGGAGACAAAACAGCTGAGTGAGTCCGAAAACCCGAAAGAAAAGCAAACGCGTTAATGAATTTGCATGCATCTTATTCGGATGCGCGCCGGACCCCTTTGTAGTTGCGTGTGGGGTGCTACTTAAGAATTCAAATGACATTACGAATATGTACATATTTGTTCATTACGTCCTTAGAAAACGACCCCCTCGTTCTGAGGTGAACTCACGAAAACGTGAACTTCCTGAGAGCGTCTTTACGGCGAGGTGAGTGGGAGGAAATGAGAGGGGGGCCTCCAAGTCTCATTCAATAGTCTGCCACCATGCAGTCTGGTGTGGTCAGATGAATAGGGAGTCCAGGGACACATTATTGCTTATTGGACAGTACAGGCTGACTGCACCAGCTCAGCACATGGCCATGGCTGCTTCCTGGCACTTTGAATGCCATGCAAGACAGGATGACCAATATTTGCCTTAAATTATTCAACATTTTTCAGGGTCATTTCAACCCCCACAGAACCTGCCCTCCTTTTAACTTTGACCTCAACCTAGAGATTCCTGCAAGAGAGGTAAAATCAGCTACATGGGTCTGGGTGGTATAAATTTTGTTAATGTCATTCTTGACAAGTAAGGGAGAATATGGTTATATGAAGAGAGATCTGTGTCATAAATTTGGATGTTAACGTTTTGCTGCTGTGGAAGAGGAAACTGTATGATTTAGAGCTGTTTTTTTAATGAGGTGGTGTTTGAAAGAAGTCTTTTATGCTCACCAAAATACAGAAACATTTTGTTACAATTTAACCGTTTTCTGTTTTATTGTATTATAAAATCTAATTTATTTCTGTAATGGCAAAGCTATTTTCATCAGCCATTACTCCAGTCTTTAGTGTCACATGATCCTTCAGAAATCATTCGAATATGCCTTTTTTTGTAATCAACTTTTTATTGTCTGTCAAATACAAGCAAAAGAACATCATTAGAACAAACAATCAAGGAAGGATGAATAACAGACATATTATAAATAATTCTACAGTCAAAGAAAAGCAAGAAATAAAAATAAGAAAAAAATTAAATAAATAATTAAATAAAAAAAGAATAAAAATAAATGTTAATAAAAGATAAATAAAAACTAATATGCGTATGATTTGATGATCAGTCATGTTTTATAAAGGCCACTTTTTGGCTGTAGCCATTATTTTTGTTATGGATATAAACACATGATTTTTCATAATATAAATTTGTATTTATTTATTTTTTACTCTGGACAACAAGCTTTTTTTTTTGCTATCTATATTTGCACTCTCCCCACTACATTTTTTTCCATGATATCTTTGTGTCATAAAGAAATGTATTTGTTTTTTTTGTTTTTTTAAACATTAACTTTTCTTAAAAAAAGGTTAAATTTTTGCATGATTAATTGCTGTAATTAAACTCTCACACAGTTATAAATTGAAACTTTTACTGGAAATCCACGAAACGCAGCAATAAAATGGTGCGATAAACCATGCATCCCTACCTCTGCTGTGTTTGTGTGCTCCTGTATTGTTTTGCAGTGTTGTTAGTGTGGCTCTATGAAGTGTGACTGTGATTTCATACCCAGCAGACAGGGCTGAACAGGCTCAGACTCTGTTCTCTGCCAAGCTCCCAGCTCTCTCCGCTCTATTTAAGCACATGTGGCACTGGCATTTGCCACATTTATGATGTGTGTATTACAGCGCAAAAACAGCTTGCTGTCTGCTCTTTAAACAGCTCAATTTGGAGCAAAGCTCAGCCTTTTGGCTCTCTGGCAGGCAGCCGTGCCGTATGAAAGCATGTGGAATAGAGTAGCGCAATGCCCAAGGGGATATCTCCAGTAAACAGAGCAAGAGCGCGCGCGAGAGAGACTAAATACGCAATGACAGACGTGACACACTCCAGTCTACTGTGGACAAACAAAGGTCAGAGGGAGTGTGTGTGTGTTGCAGGATACAGTAGATTTATTAAATTGATATGTGTAACTTACAGTTTAATAGAAACTGGAGCCTTTTTAAACCATTGGCTCTAAATGGAGATGTTAAAGCATTTGGGTTTTATGTGCCAATTGTAGAGGAAGCCCATAATGTTTTCCCGCTTTTATGTCTTCATTAAATGTCAAAGCACAAGTACATTCGACTAACAGGCTTTTTCCGCCTCTGTCTTTCTTTTCCCACTATTTCTCCGGGCTCTTGTTGCCGTCTACTCCATCGCCGCTCTGTTTAGGCCCACATAGAGTCACTTAATCAAGACAAGACGCAGACCAATGACTGCGTGCAGTGTTGGAAATAAACCAACTTTTTTTTCCACAAAAGGAAATATTAATATTAGATTTTTTTCCCCTCTCATGTCATTTTCCATCAGGGACCTCTATGCAATTTAATCACCACTAAAATCATTAAAAAAGATCTGAAGATTAAATTATATTGGCATTTGCAAAATTATGTAATACATTTACATTACAATGAAGAAATTAAAATAATGCATTTTATCTGTGTGGGGTTCCGCTGAGCTCTACCTGGGGAAATATAGCAGCAGGAAATGGACAGGCTCTGTTCTTGAGATCTGACTGTAATGGAGAAGAGCTCAGAGCTTTGTACCTCCAGAGCTGCTTCTCCTGGTATATATCTGCCGCCTATAGTGCTATTAACCTAGTTTAGCGAGAGTTTTAACGTTTAGATCTATTTGCAGGTTCCAAAGGACAGTCAAGGACACACTTCAACACAATATATCACCATTTTTCCTCTCATATTACACTGTTTTTCAAGTAATTTCTGGAGTTTTCAGACATTTTCATTCAATAGAATTGTGCCTTCAATCTTGTGAGTGACAAGGCACTGATGAAAGGTTACAAATAATTTTGGAACAATCTGTTCAGGTTTCACCAACGTTTTTACCTAAAGTGTTTTCCTTTGCCTATCACTCAGTATCAGTCAACACCGTCAGATTCAAAAGTAATGTCAAGTATTTAATACAAATATTTATTAGCTAGGCTACTTCAAATGAGGAAGGTTTTCTAAAAATACCTAACTATTTCTTTACACCTCGAATAATAAATGGCCACATATTAATAAATACACAATAAATGCACAATTACTTTATATATAAAATATATAAATTACATAAGAATTTACTTGATTTTTTTTTTTTGCTAAATATGTTGTGTTTAATGTCATACCACCTTCTCTCCATGTAGGTCTGACTGATGAGGAGGTTGATCTGGCCATCCAGCGGTCCGGTAGTACAGAGGAGCCGCTCACTGTAGCTGTTCCCGGGCCCGCGCACATCGCTCACCCTGTTCCACTGGCCCCATACAGTGAGTATTACCACAGTCGTTTTTACTAGGATAGGGGTCTACCCTATAACCCTTCCACTTGGCCACCCGCTGTATGTTTTTGCAGCCCATGTGCTCCTTAAACATGACTCTAGTCTAGTCTAGTAGATTTTCTCTACCAAATGGTGCGTGACTATATTAAATCCTCCAATGTCCTCTGTGCTCCCGTAATCTTGTTTAAACCTTCGCCCGTACATCAGTTCAAAACAGGCCAACTGTGTGGAACACCTTGGAATATTGTGCTGATATTTTTATAAGCGTCCGAACATAACTATTATCTTAGACGAGTGGTTTTCAAAGGAAATGAGTGGCATTGAGCATCCCATTTGCGTAGGCATGTAATTAATTCTGGCACGGCCTTGCGTTATGATGTCCATACCGTTACGACGATCTCTGGTTGGTTGGCCCACCGAGGGCCTTTCTGCAGCCTGTATCTTTATTACCTCTGCGGGTTATGAGCTCCAGGCCGGCCGCTGATTTACCAATCCTGAATGAAGTTCGCATAATGCTTAACCTGTATGACAATGATTCCAGATGTATTCCACCCTCATTTATTGCCACCCTGTCCTTGACTCCCCGCCATCTCATGTTTTGTAATGAAAGCGATGTTGATGGGATGGCCATGTAGTTAGGCTTCAGCCCCACTAGAGTGGGGGGTTTTATATCAAAACGGCTATGAGAGAATGGCATAATGAGGGGAGAGTGAGGAGATCTTCGCCGGGGGTCAGGTTGGAAAGAGGGGGTCCCTCTCTTTGATGTCCTTGTTATGGGGATGATGCGTCTGGACCCGCATCCATCTCTGTCGGAGTAATGGATACTCTGATCTCTATTTTCAAGCAGTAGAAGGACAGTAGGGCCTTTTCTGAACCCAATAAATTTGAACGGAGATTGGAAAAAAGGGGAATGGAGGCCATGCTCACACCTTAAGTGACCACATAAAAAGCAGGAGTGGAAAGTGGAGGTGGAGGGGCTACCCATGTGGAAGAAGGACCTCTGTTTGGACCTCAAGTTGAAGTAGGAGATCGGTCAGGGCCGCCGGCTAAGCTCAAAGACTCTGAAATCACCCAAGCTGCCATCATGCGTGTCCTGCACGCCATGCCCCCGCAAGGACACTTCGGTTAATAACACCAGTTTACCATTGATACAAAAAGCTAGGTTGTCAGAAGTTCTTAAAATGGAAGTTTTAAGAAGTTGCAGGTTTGCTGATGTTTTTGATGTACTCTTTGGTGTAGATTGTCACCTTCATTCAGCAGAACTGAGCTTCAGTCTTCAGACAGGTTTGATCCTATGAGTGACAAGGCACTGATTCTTGAGTATTTCTTAAGGCTGGGACACACCAAGCCGACTTCAAAGAACTAGCGGCGACAAAAGCCTACAGTGATGTCGCCTTGCATCGGCAGCATCTGGACCAAAAAGCTGTGCTTGAACACACCGTTCAGACTACAGCCA